GGGGCCACATTATAAAAGACATAGAATAAACACTAAAACAACACTTAATAGAAATCAAAACAAATTTCCATAACATATAATACATAATAATAACAATAATACATACAGTTTGTTATTGTTAAACCGACTAACCTCAAAATTCGATCCAATTGTGTCCCAAACACTTTATTTATATATTTGCACAACACAAAACACTTTTGTTCCAACTTAAATACAATTCACGATTATTTTTATCAATTTTTAAACCTCACTGGCCGATTGTTGAACGAGAACTGACACAAAACTTATTTACAAATGTTCCTTTCACTATCGTTCGAGTGACACTAGGCGGCCATGTTGAACGCCGAACGAGAGAGGAGGAATATGAAGCAACGTTATACGGGCGTTGGGGGAATGGAGTGAAGTTGGAAGTATAAGAACACTGAGGGTTGTAGATATAAAATTATTTATTTATATATATATATATATATATATATATATATATATGATAAAATTATTTCTTGGGCATCCATCCAGTAATTAAAAAACAGTTTTATTGAAAAATGTTTTTATTCAGAGACATACGTTTCTGGTCTTGATTTGACCCATCTTCAGTGCTACAATTAAATATTTCAGGGTTACAATTTAAAACAACATAAAAAGTACATAATTACAGACAAAAATAAATAAAAACATGTAAAAAAACATAAATCTAACCAATTTAATAAATTAGTTTTAAAACAAATATATATTGTGAAAAAATATATGAAAAGTATATATGAAAAACAACCATAAAATAAACAAATGTAAAGAAACTCACCATACAAATAAATTTGAAAAAAAAACACAAAAACACACAAAATTGCACGAAAAAATAAATATGAAACAAACAATTGATAAAACGTCGAGTTATGATGAATTTAAAAAAAATTGTAAAATTAAAATAAATAATATATTTTATTATGAAAAATGTTCGTTTGGAATAAGCTTTTTTTTAATAAAATATATTATTTATTTTAATTTTACAATTTTTTAAAATTTATCATAACTCGACGTTTTATCAATTTTTTGTTTCATATTTATTTTTTCGTGCAATTTCGTGTGTTTTTGTGTTTTTTCTTTCAAATTTATTTGTATGGTGAGTTTCTTTACATTTGTTTATTTTATGTTTGTTTTTCATATATACTTTTCACATATATACTTTCACAATATATATTTGTTTTAAAACAAGTTTATTAAATTGGTTAGATTTATGTTTTTTTACATGTTTTTATTTATTTTTGTCTGTAATTATGTATTTTTTATATTGTTTTAAATTGTACCCCTGAAATATTTAATCGTAGCACTGAAGATGGGACAAATCAAGACCCGAAACGTATGTCTCTGAATAAAAACATTCTTCTTCAATAAAACTGTTTTTAATTACTGGATGGATGCCCAAGAAACAATTTTATCATATTATTTCATCATCTGAAGAAAAAGATCTCGCTTTATATATATATATATATATATATATATATATATTAAATGTTAAATATGAACAATACAACACTCAGATTTTTAACACACACTTTATTTGGTAATTACAGACGTTTCGAGACCACGGTATGTCTCATCTTCAGTGTAATTTCAAAACGGTTGCTTATATACTACACATTCTTTAATATTTTATTTAAATTACATTTAATTTTTTGAAAATACAACAAACACCAACTATCACTTGCAAAGCTTGACACAATAATAATAAATTTATTTATATCCTAATTTAGTGTATTATTCTCTTAGCATTCAGTACTAAAACATGTGAATAGATACAGAAATATTTTAAACAAATCTTGAGTATCGAGATGAAGAGACAGGATGGTCTCTTTGTCACAGGATGGTCAGTTTTTTACACGACTCTTATATAAACATCATTAATAATTTATAATCTTTTTCATTTATCTTATACCCTTCAATAAATTAATCTGTTTTCACATTTGTTGATTTTAGTATGCAATCGTGCACTTCATTTGTTTACATTATAACTTTTTTTTTCAGTAACTTTCTATATGTCATTTATTAATTCAATTTTTATTTACAATATAATTCTAATCGATGATAATAATATTATATAATTACAACTACGAACACTTCTATCTTTTGGTATTTTTTTTTTTGTTAATTTTAATATATATATATATATATATATATATATATATATATATAGTTAATAAAAAAAATTATTTGTGACATAATTATAATAGAAAACACTTTGCTATTTTGAACTTTAAGAATTTAAAATAACATCTATACATATTGCATATTTGGATTTTAAAATAGTATTAATTGATTGAAATTGATATATCATTAAGTACTTATAGGGTGGTCCTTAATATGGACATTTTCGAATTTTTTTGCTCCCCTATAATAGTATCTATCCTCTCTCTTCATCTCGATACTTAAGATTTGTTTAAAATATTTCTGTGTTTTTCACATGTTTTAGTACTGTGTCAAGCTTTGCAAGTGATAGTTGGTGTTTTTTGTATTATCAAAAATTAAATGTAATTTAAATAAAATATTAAAGAATGTGTAGTATATAAGTAACTGTTTTGAAATTACACTGAAGATGAGGCATACCATGGTCTCGAAACAACTGTAATTACCAAATAAATTGTGTGTTAAAAATCTGAATGTTGTATTCTTCATATTTAACATTTGATATATATATATATATATATATATATATATATAACGTATGTTCAATTTTTCTTCATTCTTTCCCCTAATTTACCCCAAAATATAATTAATTACTCACATTTCAAAATCACTCCCTTTACGACCCTTACATTTACAAAGATTGTTATCTTACACTTTCACTTCCATCTCATTCATTCAAATTAAATTAAAGCAAATATAAAATGTTATGGATATATAGATCAATAAATTTATAAATCTACAAATACATAAATTTATAAATTTATGTATTTGTAGATTTATATATGTATATTTATATAAAATATAAATCCATTAACTTATGAATTTTATATTTGGCAATTCATAAATCTACAAATACATAAATTCATGAAATCGCACATCCATAAATTTATGACTTTACAATTCACACATCCATAAATTCATAAATCTACAGTGCTATAAATTTATAAATCTACAAATCAAACCATAAATTTATAAATTCACTTATCCATAAACTAATATATTTGTTCATCAGTTCACACATCCATAAATTTGTTATTCCACAAATCCATAAATTCATAAATCTACAGTCCTATAAATTTATAAATTTACAAATGAGTAGTGAATTTATAAATTCACAAATCCATAAACTAATATATTTATTCATCAGCTCACACATCCATAAATTTGTAAATATACAAATCCGAAAATTAATGTATGCATTCATCCCTAGATAAATAAGCATTCATCAATTCACATATTGATAAATTTATAAATCTACAAACCCAGAAATTCACAAATTCATAAATTTCTAATTCCACAAATTTATGAACTTATACATCTACGAATCTGTAAACTTATAAATTTACAAATTCATAAATTTATATATCTATAAATCCATAAAATTTTTAAATCTACAGATTCATCCACTAATATAGATATATATTATATATATATATATATATATATATATATATATATCCATAAATTCACATATATTATAATTTTTCGAATCTATGAATTTATAAATCCATAAATTTATAAAATAACAAATTCATAAAATTATGAATCTACAAATACATAAATTTAAAAATCTAAAAATCTGTAATTGAATAAATAGATATATCCATCAACTCACACATCCATAAATTTATAAAACTGCAATTCTATAAAATTACAAATTAATTTATACATCCATAAATTGATATCTGCATACATTTATAGATTTACAAATCCATAAATTTATGAATCTAAGAATCCATGAATTTATATAATCTAGAATTCTATAAATTTATAAATCTAGAAAGATGTAAAATTATAAATCTACGAATCAATAAATTTGTAACTCTACAAATCCATAAATTTATAAATCTTGTAACCCATAAATTTATAAATCTTCAAATCCATAAATCAAAATATATTTATATATATAAATTTATAAATCCATAAATTTATAAACTTACAAATCCAAAAATTTATAATTTACAAACTCAAAAACTTATAAGATGTGCAATTATAAATCTACAAATAAAAAATGTATAAATTTACAGATCTCTAGCATTTTGAATCTATTAAACTATAAATTAATATAAACATTCTTAAATTCACACATTTATAAATTTATAAATCTACAAATCCATAAATTTATAAACAACGACACTGGTAATAATAAAAAACAGATTAATTTAGAAATAAACTTATAAATCTACAAATTTAAAAATTTACAAATCCATAAATTTAAAGAACTACAATTTTATAAATTTGCAAACACAATTTATTCATTCATACAATAACAAATCCATTCATCCATCCATTTATAAATCTCCAAATCCGTAAATTTATAAAACTGCAAATCTATGAATATATATATATATATATATATATATATATATATATATATTGGTTTGATGTTGAAACATATTGAATTGAATAAAACAGGCAATGGGTGAAATGTGGAAAAGGTAATTTTAATTTTTTTATTCATTTCGAGACTAGATGTGACCCATCATTCATCTAAAAGTAGCTGATATTGTAAATTTCTTTTAGCTGAATGATGAGACACATCTAGTCTCGAAACGTATAGAAAAATTTAAATAAACTTTTCCACATTCAACACATTGGATGTTTCATTCAATTCAATATATATATATATATTATATATATATATATATATATATATATATACAAATTTCTACATCCATAAGTATAAATAAAAACACAAATTGATTATTTTAATCCTTTTATACATATCAATATATTTTTGTTAATCTCATCAGGTAAATGACATCATAATAATCCTATCAATTCTCATAAATATCTCAAAAATATACAAATTTAAAACAAACTTGTGTCTTTTTCAACTTCATCATCATCCATAACCTCATTGTATTACAACTAATTATTATTAATATTAATTCTAATTAATAGAGAAATTATCGATTAAGTAATTATGCAAAATTTGTTAAAACTATGACTTCATTCTTTATATTAATATAAAATAGTAGTATATTTACATGCATCTTAAATATTTAAATAAATTAGCACAAATATTGCAAATTATTCAGAAATTTTTGAACATTTTGGAAAAGCTTGTAGTAAAGGAGCTGGTAGCAAAGCTAGGTATATATATAAATAGTTGTCCATTAAATACTTGTATTTCAGCCAAGCAAAAAAAGCTAAACAAACATATATATATATATATATATATATATATATATAAAATGGTAGAATCTTGGATTTGTGAATATTTTGTAGAGTTTCGAACAAGAATCCAAAAAGTAATAAAAAACAAAAAAGGTTTTTTTAATAAACTATTTCTTTATTTGTTTATTTACTGTCGACGTTTCGGAACTAGGTATGTTCCATCTTCAGGACATCTGTCAAGAAACATGATTTTGATAAGATTTAAGCAAACAATATGTTTAAGAAATCATTTTTAATATCCTGTTATATAATACACTCATTTATTTTTATCAGTTTCATTTTGATCATATTATCATATTTCTGTACATTATTTTTTCAACTATTTTATTAATTAAAATCCATTTTCTTTTCTTAAACGTATTGTTTGCTTAAATCTTATCAAGATCATATTTCTCTACAGATGTCCTGAAGATGGAACATACCTAGTTCCGAAACGTCGACAGAAAATAAATAAATAAATAAAGAAATAGTTTATTAAAAACACTTTTTTTGTTTTTTAATACTTTTTGGATTCTTCTTCGAAACTCTACAATATATATATATATATATAAATATATATATATAATAAATATAAGGTTGTCAAATATCTCCCTTCGCCTTTTGTATTATAAACAAGAGCAAAAAAGCGGAGGGAGATATTTGACAACCTAATATATATGTAAATTTGTAGAAATATATACATTTTGATTTTAATTTCTCAACATCCCATTATATTTTTCATAAAACTATTTCCATTGCAACCAGCTCTCCGACAAAACCATTGTATTTAACAAATAAGGCTCCCAATTTTACCTCTTCACTCCAAATTCAAATGTAAAAATATTTTATCACAAAACAAAACATTACAGTAAACCTCTTCGATCCCCAAAAAAGAACAAAAACGAAGCTATATCACTATCTACAGCATCCCAAGCAAAAAAATTGGACCATCGAGGCTCCCAATAAAAATTCAATTCATTAATAATACCAAAAATTTATACTGTTTGAGTAACAACTTACATATAACAAGATATAAAAAATTAATTAATAAATATACATAATTTAATAGTACAAATAAATTATATAAACAATGTTATAAATCTAATTTATATAAATAATAACTTTACCCTCTATCTAACCTCTACTATTAGTGTAACGCTGGTCTTCTATAGTAGATCTCTAAGAGGTCGTAGAAGGAGTTCCGGAGCCCTAATTGTTTATGCCGCTCTCAGAGACTCTTCGACTTGTCCAGGTCGTCCTCCTGCTGGTTTATTGTCAGTTCCTGCAAGGTTGCAGAGAAGCGATTCCATTCATCGTGCCTTGGAAGAGCCAGATGCTAGAGGAAAAAGGAAATATAATGTTCTGTAATAACATAATTGTACGTGTTTTTAATAAAAATATAAATTTATTGTTCAATGTTAATGAAAGGGAATTTGTCACGTCCAATACATAATATATAGAGTCAAAATTATTTGTATAAGCTAGTGATGTCTTAGGCAAGAGTCTGGCCAAGTGATGATGTCTTAAGAGTAGTCTTAGATATCTTAAGTGGAGATTATGTCTGTTAATTAGAAGAAATAAACACAGTGTATAATATTACAAGTGGAGTTTATATTGGAAACCAGAAGTTTATCTCTTTCAGCAAATATCTTACTGAAAAAACCCATATCATTTCAATAAGTTTCAAAAGAAAGAAAGTCTGAAAAAGATCTTGATCTTATATTGTAGATCTACCTCTCATACTTTTAAAGCCGCCTTTCATGTATTTCTCAACCCACTTACAGAATTTTAAATAAATCAAATAAAGATATTTATCATATTTACCTCCGCAACATCATAAACCCATATCTTTCCATTATCATCACCAACGGTGACGTGTAGACCAGATGGTGTCCAGGAGACACGATTCAGAGCTGGTTGATTTTCGACTACAATAGTTGCAGTCGGCACCTAAAAGAAAAAATAAATATAAAATAAATAATTACAATAATAATTTGACGAAGAGATACTAGGTCTTCCTTACCTCTGTATCCTGGTTGAGATTCCACAAATCCAATCGTCCAGATCCATCGACTGATGCAAACAAGGCAGGATGGATTGGAGACCAGCTGACATCCAAAACGTAATCACCATTGTCTTCAAAGGAGTACAAAGGCTTGTTATCCTAGAATAAAACAAACTTTAACATACCTTGCACCAGAAATTAGACATCAGGATACAAATCAAGTAAGTTGGATTACTAAATTTTATTACCTTGAGACTCCACAGTTTGATGGTCCAGTCTATAGAAGACGTCAAGAACAGATGTGACATATCAGGTGTGTTTTGTGCCCTGTGTGCAGCAATTCCAGTAATTGGTCCTTGATGTCCATTGTAGAACTCCACAATACCAGCTTTGTCACCATGTCGACAAGCTACAATAAAAAACAATAAAACACTTCTGATAGAACCCTTCCATATTTTCTTATATTCACAAATAATATGAAGATTTTCTTGGTTGAGTTTTACGACAGTGTAAAACACTCAGGGAGTATTATAAATTATTTAATTTTAAACAAATTTGTCGAATACGTCAATCATATTAAGCAAATGGTTTGAAATTTACAAAAGTTTAGAGGTCGAGTCGATGTCCTATCGAAGGTCCTTCGTACTATATACAGTACAGTGGGTCAAGAATTTTTCATATGGTAAAAAATGCATGTGGGGTATCAAATGAAAGGTCTCGACTAACAGTTAACAAATATCATAGTCATAGACACTAAAAGCCAATAGGGTTCCGTACATTAAACATTATGTTATATTTACAATTACTTTATCGATATTTCTTATCGATTTTGTTAGTTATTTTGAACTGAAGTGAGTTGTTTTAGTAAAGAGTATTATGAATTATTTAATTTTAAATAAATTTATCGAATACATCGTTCACATTAAATAAATAGTTTAAAAGTTACAAGAGATATAATAAATCAATGCACAAGCGAGTCTATTCGTGCTATATACAGTACAGTGGGCCAAAAAACACTTCTGATGACGTCATGTGGTAAAAATGCATGTGGGATATCAAATGAAAGGTCTCGACGAGCACTTTACGAATATCGTACTTAAAAACCTTAAAAACCGATAGGGTTCCGTATATTAAACATTTTCCTTATATTCACAAATAATTTAAAGATTTTCTTGGTTGAGTTTTACGACAGTAAATTAGTTTATTAGAGAGTATTATAAATTATTTAATTTTAAACAAATTTGTCGAATACATCAATCATATTAAGCGAATGGTTTGAAATTTACAAGAGTTTAGAGGTCGAGTCGTTGTCCTATCGAAGTTGCTTCGTACTATATACAGTACAGTGGGTCAAGAATTTTTCATATGGTAAAAACGCATGTGGGGTATCAAATAAAAGGTCTCGACGAGCATTTTAAGAATATCGTACTTAAAAACCCTAAAAACCGATAGGGTTCCGTATATTAAACATTTTCCTTATATTCACAAATAATATAAAGATTTTCTTGGTTGAGTTTTACGACAGTGAATTAGTTTATTAGAGAGTGTTATAAATTATTTAATTTTAAATAAATTTGTCGAATACATCATTCACATTAAATAAATATTTCAAAAGTTGCAAGAGATATAATAAATCAATGCACGAGCGAGACTATTCGTACTATTTACAGTACAGTGGGTCAAAAACACTTCTAATGACGTCATATGGTAAAAATGCATGTAGGGTATCAAATGAAAGGTCTCGACAAGCATTTTAAGAATATCGTACTTAAAAACCTTAAAAACCGATAGGGTTCCGTACATTAAACATTTTCCTTATATTCACAAATAATTTAAAGATTTTCTTAGTTGAGTTTTACGACAGCGAATTAGTTTATTAGAGAGTATTATAAATTATTTAATTTTAAACAAATTTGTCGAATACGTCAATCATATTAAGCAAATGGTTTGAAATTTACAAAAGTTTAGAGGTCGAGTCGACGTACTATCGAGGTCGCTTCGAACCATATACAGTACAGTGGGTCAAGAATTTTTATTATGGTAAAAAATGCATGTGGGGTATCAAATGAAAGGTCTCGACGAACCTTTAACGAATATCATAGTTATAGACACTAAAAACCAATAGGGTTCCGTATATTAAACATTTTGCTTATATTCACAAATAATTTAAAGATTTTCTTGGATAAGTTTTACGACAGCGAATTAGTTTATTAGAGAGTATTATAAATTATTTAATTTTAAACAAATTTGTCGAATACATCATTTACATTAAATAAATAGTTTAAAAGTTATAAGAGATATAATAAATCAATGCACGAGCGACTCTATTCGTACTATATACAGTACAGTGGGTCAAAAACACTTCTGATGACGTCATATGGTAAAAATGCATGTGGGGTATCAAATGAAAGGTCTCGACGAGCACTTTACCAAAATCATAATTAAAGACCTTACAAACCAATAGAGTTCCGTACCCTTTAATTTTTCTCAAGTTTAACTTAATTTTTCAATATGTTTGCAATATGAAAGTATATTGAGTGTGGGAAAAGTGAGATATTATTACAAAATCACGAAGAAACTTTACATTTTTAATTTGAAAAATTAAAGTGTATGTGTGTTTGTGAAATAAAAGGTTGTATGTATCAAAGAATGTTTTGGTGCCTTATCTTGAATTTATTAATTAAGGAATCATTTTTATTAAAATTAATGGTTTTGTAAAATTAAATAGACACAATAAAAACAAAATGAAATCATACTTAAGGGGCACTAGTGTGAAATTTTCAAAAAATCAAATTTTCAATTTCTCCATATTTCGACCTTTAAAAATAACATACCAAAATTTTAAATAGTTTTGGAGTCACAGCCATTTGAAGAGTATATATATAGTATACAGTATAACTATCATTTTATCTTTAAACGCGCTTTTCTCAAAACAGCATTTTCCGAATTTGCTGCAGCGATTACTCAAAAACAAATGATCCGATTGCTATCGATTTTTTTTACATGTTCTATATATAGTTCTTTGTAAAATGAACTATCGATTTTTTGATCGGATCAAAAATCGAATTTGGCAGTCCAAAAACGACCAAAATTTTGGGTAAAATTCGACTTTTTTTAAAAAAACGCCGCCATTTTGTCAATTTTCGTTTTTTTTTTCATCGTAGGTGATTTTACAGACAATAATATCTAGTTTAATGAGATTTTTTTGTTTTTAAATTTCATCCACGTAGAAGGCCGTAAACACTGCATTAGTAAAGGGCCTTTTTTTGTCGCGCCGTTGGAGATCGACGATAACTTAAAAAATATTTAATTTTTTTCTTCAAAAATTTTACTATGTATTCTTAAAACATGTATAAATATATTCCTAAAATTTTGAAATGATTGATAAAGTAGTTTTTTTAATATAAATTCCCAAAAACCACCTTTTTTAGGCGGTTACACTAGTTGTGCCCCTTAAACTGGTATAGGTCTATTTCCTTTACCTGAGTACACAGTGCCTTCCTCGCTTCCAACAATAAAATTATTAACTTCTCCAACAGGGAATGTCATACAAGTAGCAGCTACTGCTTTATTTTGTTTCTGCTGCAAATCTTGAGTATCTTGAGGAGACGACAGCATGTCCAACGACCAACTGCACATCCTTCCATCGCTCGATACTGATATCAGATTGTTTGCGTTTTGGGTGCCCACGACGTCCAGACAATAAATAGGATGCTAAAATAATAAAAAAAATATGTATATAGATATACGTGTTATATATATATATATATATATATATATATATATATATATATATATATGTAGTTTACCGTATGTGCAGTTGCTGACAGTGGCGTCCGTTGTATGGGCGTCCTCTTTTGAACCCTGTTGTCCCACAATACAATTTGTCCAGAGTACGTGCCGCCCATGATCAAATTAGGATGAAACCTGCGCAAAACAAATCTTATATATAAAAATAAATCGCAAAATGTGTTGGTAAGCGCATAACTCAACAACGTCTGAACCGATTTGGCCAATTATTTTTTTTAAATGTTCGTTGAAGTCCAAGGACGGTTCTTATGGCGAGAAAAAATCGAATAATTGCCGGGAAAACCCTAAAAACTGCCCTTTTCTTTTTCACATACAAACGTTATCTAACTAAAACGTAGAATCAATTTGAGCTTTATTGCTATTATATAAAGTTCATATTAAATTACAAGCACTCACTGTATACTCATTCTGAACGATTATTCGGATCTTGATAAATCTTTCTGAAGTTTGTTAAGGAAATTTTCTAGGATGTATGTGATTATAATGGGATATATGTGCAATATTGTAGAAATAAATGGAAAAAATTGCAAAAAACGACATGTCATTGTTTGCATTGAAAACAAATGAAAACTATCATCTGCCAAAAATTTCAATTTACTTATGAACCTAGACAATATTAGAATATGTATAATAAATTTATGATTATGAATAAGTAAAAAGAAATGTCTACTATTCTTATAAATTTAAAAAAAGGACTCTACTGACGAGCAAACTGAAAAAAAAATTATTTTGAAAGCAAGAAGGGACTCTACTTACGAGCAAACTGATTTTCGAGGTCATTTTTATAAATTTCAAAATGAAAAAGGAACTCTACTGGTGAGCAAACTGATTTCTGAAAATATTCTAATAAATTTCAAAATGAAAAAGGAACTCTACTGATGAGCAAACTGATTTTCTACGTGATTTTTATAAATTTCAAAATGAAAAAGGAACTATACTGGTGAGCAAACTGATTTCTGAAAATATTCTTATAAATTTCAAGGGAAAGGGGACTCTACTTACGAGCAAACTGATTTTCGAGGTCATTTTTATAAATTGAAAAGGAAAAAGGGACTCTACTTACGAGCAAACTGATTTTCTACGTCATTTTCATGAATTTCAAAATGAAAAAGGAACTCTACTGGTGAGCAAACTGATTTCTGAAAATATTCTAATAAATTTCAAAATGAAAAAGGAACTCTACTGGTGAGCAAACTGATTTCTGAAAATATTCTTATAAATTTCAAGGGAAAAGGGACTCTACTTACGAGCAAACTGATTTTCTACGTCATTTTTATAAATTGAAAAGGAAAAAGAGACTCTACTTACGAGCAAACTGATTTTTCGAGGTGATTTTTATAAATTTCAAAATGAAAAAGGAACTCTACTGGTGAGCAACTGATTTCTGAAAATATTCTTATAAATTTCAAGGGAAAGGAGACTCTACTTAAGAGCAAACTGATTTTCTACGTCATTTTTTATAAATTAAAAAGGAAAAAGGGACTCTACTAACGAGCAAACTGATTTTCTACGTCATTTTTACTAATTTAAAAAAAAAAAAAAAGGACTCTACTTACGAGCAAACTGATTTTCTACGTCATTTTTATAAATTGAAAAGGAAAAAGGGACTCTACTTACGAGCAAACTGATTTTCTACGTCATTTTTATAAATTGAAAAGGAAAAAGAGACTCTACTGACGAGAAAAATGTTTTCTGAACAAAAAAATTAATTTGAAAGCAGAAATGGACTCTACTTACGAGCAAACTGATTTCTGAAAAAAAAAATTTGAAAGCAGAAAGGGACTCTACTTACGAGCAAACTGATTTCAGAGGATTTTTTTATAATATTCAAAACAAAAGCGATTACTGACTAGGAAACTTATTTCCTAAAAAGAGACTCTAATTTCCGAAGGAGTCCTTATATTAGTATATGTACAATAAACTTATGATTATGAATAAGAAAAATGAAATGTCAGCATTATTATTGCCAAAAGCAGCTGAGATGTGCCAGAAATTAAAATAATATAAAATACTGTATATGTATGGCAGATTGAATGATATACATATGAACAGGATATGACAAATTAAATCACTTAAAATATGAAATTAAGTATTAATCAGGACCGGTACTACCTTTAATGCGATGCATGCGAAAAATACGAGCGCACGTTTTAGGGGGCGCCAACACAAGATTCGGAAATTAAATTTTCTTTATATATTTCTTTGCATCTTTTACTAATCTTTCCACAATATTTTAAAATTCGTAAAAATTTTACTTTAGTACAAGAAATGGGAAGTAAAGATGAATACATACAATTCGGCCCTCACGATATCGATTAGGAGAAGTTTAAGATGCAATTTTGGATATCTTAAATAATAAAAATTAAATTAATTTAATCCAACATGAGTACCAGTGTTATGTAATGGTTATGGTTTATGTTATACCGTTTAAAAGACCTCAATTTCCAATATAGTGTGGTAATTGAGACTCATCATTTTATTTAAAGCAGTTCTGCATTTAACATCGCTCATATTATAAATGTATATGCATTTTGGCGTAAAGAGTAATTTAAAAAACAATAATTATTATTTTTAGGTAAACGGTAGATATTAGTATATTATATTAAAAAATTGTAGACATGGGTACAGGACAACATCTATCGGGTTATGTCTATGCAAACCAAGTAAATATTTACTAGACTACTTACTTGGCAAAAGTGGCACTCATGACAGCACTCTGACAAAAATACACGTCCTCAGGAGTCGTCTTCTTGAATTTAGTGTTCCAGACAACGCAGACGCCTTCAGGATCGTTGGGGGCATCCTCGTTACCGTGATAACTGGCCAGCAGTAACTCTGGGTAATGTGATGACCAATCTAGAGAAGTCACGCACCGGCCTTTTGTCCAGCGCTCGTCGAAGAACCAACGATTAAGGGATAGACGAGCTGTGTTCGTTTTGTCATCCCTAAAAAAAAAAGAGTACACGTAAGGTTCACGCGCGATTGAAGTAAAACTTATTTGCTACTGTACAAGATGGTATTTAAGTAAAAATAAATACATCATATAACAATTTTAAATAATGTTTATTAGTAATATGATGGTAACACTCGTGATGCACACATTTATTAGTGTCGACCATTATACACATTTATATAATGATAAATTATAAATTATATATTTATAATAGCATTAAAAATATGTATAATATTTAAAACCAATAATGTAATTGAAGTCATACTTCAAATACGACATGATCGGTTTGTCATTGTAATTAGCATCTAGGACTTGAACCTTCATTAGAGAAATAAAGTAATTGCTGATTAATAAATTCTATAATATAAATTCTATAACGCCTAAACAAATATTGTTTTCGCGACTTGACTCATCATGTAATAATCGTGTTTAAAGAACTTCATGCAATTAAAATTAACATACATTAATTGACTGCTTGTATTTTTTTTTTTACTTTTTCGCTGGCTATATAATCTCATTCTTTGAGCAGCTCTAATATCTGCCTTGGCTAAAAATATTTTTCATTTTAATAACATCAAAGATTTATAGAAACTACAAGACCATTTTTGATTTTATTTTTAGTTTTGCTCGTCAGTAGAGTTCCTTTTAAATTTTATTTTTAGTATGCTCGTCAGTAGAGTCCATTTTTCTTTAATTTTTAATTTAATCATCAGTAGAGTATCTTTGAATTTTATTTTTATTTTGCTCGTCAGTAGAGTCCCTTTTTTTCATTTTCAATTTTGCTCGTCAGTAGAGTCCTTTTTTCCCTTTAATTTTTAATTTAATCATCAGTAGTCTCTTTGAATTTTATTTCTATTTGGTCGTCAGTAGAGTCCCTTTTTCTTTAATTTTTAGTTTGCTCGTCAGGAGAGTCTTATTTTCTTCTATTTTTAATTTAATTATCAGTAGAGTTTATTTTTCTTTTATTTTGAGTTTTGTGTATAGTTTGCAATAAACAATAAACCAAAAAAAAAATTTAGTTTTGCTCGTCAGTAGAGTCCCTTTTTAATTTTATTTTTAGTGTAGAGTCCCTTTCAGTATGCTCGTCAGTATAGTCCTTTTTACCTTTAACTTTAATTTAAACATCAGTAGAGTCTCCTTGAATTTTATTTTCATTTTGCTCGTCAGTAGAGTCCCCCACCTTTTTTCATTTTTAGTTTGGTCATCAGTAGAGTCCCTTCATATTTACGAATAATATAGAAATAATTTCTAATCAATAAACTTACGTTTATTACATGGCACAAATGTTTAATATGTTTTATTAATTTAAAGGAAGAGGGTAATATTCTTCTGATTCAGACATTTTTTTATTGAATCAAGATTTGTATTACGATGTAACTTTAAAATGTTTATTTATTTATGCCGATTTCTTTGTTGATATCGGTACGCATACAACGTTAATGCCACTGATGCATACAACGACAGATCTCTATTTACTCGACACGACGACTAATCACAATCGACCCGTATGGAAATGATATCATCGAGAGCGAATGACGAATCAATGGCACTCGACTCTTATCTTATCGACTCTTATCTGCCGTAACGCATTTCCGTTGCTCTTGTACGGATTTACACACTAATCGCGCCTAAACAAATTGAGAAAATTGTTGAAATTATATAAATTTTGAGTGCTTACATGTTATTATCAGCTCCTCCTGTGTAATCCGTGTAAATATCCATAGATTCACTCAAAGCCCTCTCAACGAGTCTGCCAGCCCTATTCATAAACCTTTGGAAGCCCTCGGACAATATGATCATCTGCTTTTGATCCTCGCTCAACTCCCGAACTAAAACCAAGAACAACCATTACAACCAACTCCATAATTCCATTACTACTATTACTATTTAAGGCTTTAAACGTCTTTCTACACTAAGGGGCCCATTGTCCGGTAGAATAGACCAGAACATAGCGTTGTCATGGTAACGCAAGAATTTGCCCTTATGTTTATTATACAAAATTTGAAAATTGTAAATAGATATTTGTAACAAATGCACATTAATGTAGATATAATGAAATATTACCACTTACTTTCTTTCTGCATCTGCTGCTCCTGCTCCTTCCTTTCCCTCTGTTCACCGGGCGTGAGCGCCGGCGCCACTTCTTGCACTAGGGGCAGCCCGTGCGGCAGAATTCCGGGCGGCAATTTGCTGTGATGCATGATGTGCGGTAAAGAGTTGCCGTCTTCGTCCTCGCCTTGGCCGAGAGAGCGTTCGGGATCGTCGAAAGTAAGTACTGAACGGTGAATAAGGCGGGCCGACAACGTATACGATGATGATGATGATGGTGAGGGATTTGTAAGGGGTAAGTGATCAAGGGAAACAGTAATAGATGGTAAGGCGAGATCAGAACTTGCTCCAAGAATTATCAATTTTTCTCATTTTACTCATGCTTGGTAACTTCTCCAAAATTTAGTTCCCTTGATCACTTTTTTCAGGACGAATGTCAGGATGAATGAAGCAAATGCAAGTTAAATTCAATTGTGCCAAAATGAAAACTTGAAAACGTTCGCGATCGTCGAAAGTAAGTACTGAACGGTGAATAAGGCGGGCCGACAACATATATGTGCCCCTAATTATGAAAGTGGTCTAAGTCAAAATTTTTGGTATCAGGTCATTCCTTTCCACCGAATGATCGTGATTTTGGGTTGATAGAAATGAAAATAAAAAAAGCAAATTACTTATACAACTCTGAGCATTATTATGAATTGATAGAAAAGTGCAGAAAAAGCAATACATTTTCGATAAAGCGAATGTCGCAGCCGGATTTTATTTCAACGAAATCATTGTAGAAGATACAATAACAAGAATAGTAAAAAATACCACGGGCGAATCTGTCTTTTGGCTACAAGTTCAATGGATGAGATTCTTGAAAAATGAACCTTATAAAGTTTTTTATGTTTTATAAAACTTCTTTAGATGATTCTATATTTAACGTTTTGGATCTTTCACCTAAAAGAGAAAGACCAAAAATATACGGAAATATTAAATTACTTCCATTATACACCAGCATTAGACCAGTATCGGAAGAAAAACATAAAGATATTATGAGTTTACTACCGTACATACCTCCAGTTTTTCAGGAACATTTTAAGAATCTTAAATACTCGAAATAATGATAAAAATGGATTACCGTTTAAAAATAATTAATTAAAGCTCACGAATTATTCAATAAAATTATTGTTTCAAATAAAAATCAAAGTTTTTTTTATTGCTTTAAGTCATTTATAGGACATTCAGTTAATTTTGAAAATGGTCTAAGTCAATTCGACCATTAAAAACAATATTATCGTATGAAATTCACACAAAATTTCATATTCATAATAAATTTCCATTAATTAAAACTAATAAAATTAAAAATTAAAATGTCGCATAATGTAAAAATCGCACATCATTAAATATCTCGAAACAAGAAATGACTTAGACCACTTTCATAATTATGGGCACATATGACGATGATGATGATGATTAGGGGATTTGTAAGTGATCAAGGGAAACAGTAATAGATGATAATAGATGGTAATAGATCCATCAAAGGCAAGATCAGAACTTGGAGATGTACCAATGAGATATTGAATGACTATCCGGGTTTTGGTTTTATCCGAGAATTATCAAAGTTAAGGGGGTATTCTAGTGTAGAGCGATAAATTTTAGGTCATTTTTAAAGTGTCTTAATAGAAACCAATGAATGTTTTTTACTATCCATTTTTTACCACTTGTTTTTAATATAATTAAAATACAAAACAAAAATTAACTAGTGGGGTGTATGGCATCGTGCCTTAAGGCAAATTGCAGGAACTTCCCGTACCGTAACGAAATGTTCGAGGAATACTAAATGTTTTCAAATAGATTATTATTAATATTGTAACATTGTAAATAAACTGAATTGCAAATTTAAAATTATTTGTTTAAGTTATATTAGAACTTTAGTCAGAATAAAAATAAAATCTGAATTATTTCCGATATACAAAAAAAACTAAAAAAAAAATCCAAAATCAATTATTTTGTTAAGACAAGCAGATAGTACTTTGAATCATTTAAATCGGACGCTTAGTTCTCTCAAAAACTGCCATTTTTTACATATTTAGCTCCGTATCTTCGAAATGGCTGGGCCTGCCTCTGCCAAAAACTAATAGACACTTCTCCCAATCATTACTAATTGAATGGTTTTTAGATCATTCAAATCGGAATGTCAAAATCAAAAAGTCGATTTCTATTTTCTGCACTCTTTGCTCCGTATCTCCGAAACGGCTTGACCTGCCTTCGCCAAACACTAATCAGCTCTCTTCCCTATCAATAGGAATCGAATGTTTTTTGAACCATTCAAATCGGTTGATCCGTGCGCCCGAAAACGTGACTGGAAATTTGTATCCATACATACATACACACACACACATCCATTTTTTCTGAGGTATGCCAAAACGTTCAGAGAAATGTAAAAATTTTCAATTTCGATTTTCGGCCCTGCGGGAAGTTAAAAAATAAAAAAGTTGAAAATTGTAAAAACTGGCAGCTGATGAAGTGAGTGGTCTCAAAAAATTGGCAACAGTCTTGACATGATTTCAGTCCTCCTAGCCATCGAAAATGCAAAAAATAAAAAGATTATTAATCTATAATGATGTCGCAATCGTCCGAACTAGCGATGAGTACAAAAAATTATTTTTTTACAAATTGGCGACTGTTTGAAAAAAAAAGTGTTTTTTTACTGTTTTTTTGAGTTTCTCGAATTTTTTAAAAATAGTAAATATTGGAATTTGGAGATAATCCTAGTTCGGGCTATAGATAGGTCTATAAGTAAGACTTTCTAAACATTTCAAGTGAATCGATCGATTAAAACTCGAGAAATCGTGTCAACAGTATTGAAAAGTCTGTTCTGAGAAAAAAGCATTTAAAGTTTTGCGTGAAGCCAAACCAGTATGGAGACCGAGTCAGTAATATGCCTATATCTCCGAAAATAATTCAAATTTTCAAAAACCTTCTCGTACCCATATTCTTAGATAGTTGAACTTTGAAAATATGAAATAAAAAATCGATTTTTTTGAATTTCTACACTAGAATACCCCCTTAATCTTTTTCCCAGTTTACTCATGCTTGGTAACTTCTCCAAAATGTAGTTCCCTTGATCACTTTTTTCAGGATAAATTAAGCAAATGCAAGTTAAGTTCGCTTGTGCCAAAATGGAAACTTTGGCAGAACTAATCGGATATTTATAAATCTATCCCTAAATTGCATTTGCTTCAGGAATCTGATGCAATGATGGAGCGAGCAAATATGGCAAATGGGTATATATACAAAATGCAAAATTTGGCAAAAATGCAATGTGCAATTTGCCAAAGTCGTAATCTAATTATACATAAAGATGCAAACTGGTAAAAAAAAACTAGGTATGATGCTAAATACGATACTGCTATATGAAACAAAAAAGACAATCAGACAAAAGATCTGAAATCTGAATCATAAAGTGGTTAAATATTTTTGGAAGTATTCTGGTATTGAACGGAATAAATATTGGAACTAGGAAAAGATATTGATGTGGCTGCAAAATTGCAAATGCAGCCAGGTGATATCAAATTTCAGAATTATACAAAACCATATCTAAAAACAATATATGGTGTCATAGGAAAATAATGTTTTGTCAAAAAGGAAGTCATAAAATAGAACACAAGCCAAAATCTGTACTGACTTGAACAAACTGATGAAGAATCAATTTCCTTTGCTAAGAAAAGCTAAAAAAAAGGGTTGGTAAGGATCTCGTTTTCTGCACGTTCTGGCAAATGTCTAGAGGGTAAATTTAGAAAAACCAAGAGTAGCAAATTGTTATGGCCAAAGAGACAAAGTACACCAGGATTGCTATCCAAAATACAACCAGAAGAGAAAACCAGGATTTACATAGAGGAGCAAATTTGATCATGCAGTTACTTATTTGCAACGATAGAAGACTTTATTTAATCTTGTGCAGAATTTTCAAGAGGTTGAGAGTGAAATGGTATCTAGTAACAAGTGTTTTTTTGCCTCCAGTAACAAATAGTTGTTATTGCAAAAGAGACAAAGTACACCAGGATTGCTATCCAAAATACAACCAGAAGAGAAAACCAGGATTTACATAGAGGAGCAAATTTGATCATGCAGTTACTTATTTGCAACAAAATAGGAGACTTTATTTAACCTTGTGCAGAATTATCAAAAGATTGACAGTGAAATTTCAAGAGCAGTATAAAAAATTTCAGGAACAAATATAGCAAAATTCTATAAACAAGGAATGGTATTTACTGCTTCCTATTTCTAGGGATAAGTAGGTCTTCCAAATTGGAAGACAACAAATTTTCGTAACTATAACCTTTTGCAAGTTTTCTGGTCCAGAAACTCAGGACTATTATTGATAATGGCAAAAAGACAAATAACAAAATCAGGATTCATGCTATTATTTATTCAAAGCTTGATTATGTGCAGAATTATCAAGAAGCAGTAGGGCTCGAATTAATATTATTCATATTATTATTATTATTCATATAGCAGTATCGCACTACAACACATAGCACACAGCTAAGTAGATAAATATTCAAAAAAATGTACGATTATGTAACAATATAAAAATCTTGATCTAAAAATATCATGCAGTTATTCACAATTTCAAAAAAACGTAGCAAACGTATGCGCAATTTTACGCATAAAAATCTCTCCACCCAATCGATTTAGGAAATTGATTTTTTTTTAAATATATATGTAGTTTGTAGATATTTTTAGTATGTGATAAAAAATATGATGAAATGATTTCAAAAAAGTAATTGTATAATATTGTAAATGTAAAAACTAGCAAATTTTGCAAAATGTTAGTTCTTATTTTTAAAAATGATGATAAAATTAAACGCATGCATAAAAATCATCCTTAATTTTCTACCACTTAATAAGCAAAATAGTAACAAAACTAAGGATAAAACTGGTCAAAAAATGGTTTGAACAAACATGAAAATTACTTGATCCAAATAATCCTTAATTTCTTACAACTTGCACTTTTTTGTGCTAAGTTTTGCACTTTTATTTTTTAGCATGATGCTAAATTTTAGGAGCACAAGTTGTAAAAAAATTCAATTGGTCAAAATAACTTTGACTCATAATATAAAATTTAATTTTTTATAATTTTACATCCTTAATTTTTCACCAATTGCCCTTTTTTTTAACAAATTATAATTAAAGTACAATGATGATTTTTGGTGTCTCAGTGGTAACAAAATTAAG